TAGGAACACACAACTCACTGCAAAAATGATGAGAGGAATAAATTTGGAAGCTTGAGAGAGTAACCGTCCGAAGATGAGTTTAAATAGGGAAGAAAAGTGACAAAAATAGAATTTAATATGACCATTAAAATATTTTGTTATTTATTAGGTAAAAGAGAGATGAAAGGTGGACTATTGAAGGTCATCAATGCGAGAAATGGAGGGTAGACCCAAAAAAACATTTCAAATTATATATATATATATATTATATAGATATATATATATATATTTTTAAAAAAAATATATTAAAATATAGTAATATAATATAAAATTAATAAAAATAATGTGAATTAACTACTTTTTTATTTTTTATTTTTTATTTTTATTTTTATAATTCAAATTATATATGATGTTGTTTTATACCAAATTAAACTATGGCTTTTTAAATATATAAAAAATTAAAATATATGATGTTTAAAATTATTCTCTTCAAAGTTCTAAGTGTCATACTTTGATTCGGGTATCTTATGACTGAACTTCTTTGTTTTTGCTACGACGTGAATGATTAAAATAAAAGCGTGTCACATAGTGAACAATTCAAAATACTTATGCAACATCAGAATAGGTTGGTTGAGGTATTTTAGGGAGATGGAGATATCAGTTGTCTTTTTTTTATAAAAAAAAACAATTGATTAGTTAACTCATTTTGTTTTATTTTATCACTTTTGTAAGTGTGGTTACATCATATACATCTAAAAACTTTCGTCCTTAAAAATATTTTAATCTTGGAATAACTCATATCCTTATCTATCTAAAGAGGTTCATGGTCTAAAACATGCATCAAGTTAGTCAATGGATAAGTGACGTATGTTATATACTGCATAAAGGGACTGTGGTAGGGTTGACTTGTATGTCATTGGAGCATGGACTTAGCTTGCCCTTTCATCCGAACCTTAGTATGTCTTTCATGAGGTCACCTTTAACAATGCCCTTTCACCTACCTCAAACTCCAATCCCCTATGCCTTTTGTTGGCGTAGTTCCTCTGTCTACTTGAGTCGTGTGCATCCTTGCTTTGATCTTTTGTACGACCTCATTGGTGGCTCGGACCAACTTGTTCCTAACAGCTTGCGAGAGAATTGAATTATACTATGTCAATAGTTGCTAGAAAACTATTACTATAGGTGAATCCTATGAAGTACACCTTAGAAGTTTAACCACTTGAGAAATTCAACACGTAGGCACAAAACATTTCTTGGATGTTTGACTCAGACATTACGTCGGTTTGTTGTAGAAAAGGTACTAAAAATTCAACTTGGAGCCTCACGTTTTCTGAAGATTGTGTTAGAATTTAGATGTGAAGCGTGGATTTCGATCCAACTCTATCAACATAAACATTCCATGCAATCAACAATATCTTTTCTTATGATTGTGCCCAATGTCTACCACAAATATACGTCATATGACTCAATCCAAACTAACTAAACTTAACAAGCAGCTAAATAATTTGTTGAAGATTAAGCTTATTTAAACCCGCAAAAGCTCGTATCAATGATCACCCAAACGCTGGGGAGAGACCTCAAGCCAACACCTTGAGTGAAGGATGAACACAAAACTCTAAAGTAACTCGAGGTTACTCAGGAAGAACATCAAGACGAATGAAAAGAAGGATCGATCAGAAATGCAAGGCACAACAATTTCAACGTGGACAAAGAGTACTAATCAAATTGAGATTAGATCAATTTCAATTTTAGAGCAATAAAAACCGCGAATTGTGTGAAAATACTATGGACTAGTCGAAGTCATTCAAAAGGTCGAAAAAGCATCATGTATGATCTAATTGCTCCCATGGATGTGGACCAGTCCGATTGTCTACGTCAGTAACTTGAAACATTACTATCTCGATCAAGAAAACACCAAGCACAATGAGACGACAATCTCATGCCACGAAGAAGAACTCAACAATTTCAATATGCACAAAGAGTTCTAATCAAGCTGAGATCAGATCAACTTTGATTTCTAAGCAACAAAAACCACGAATGGTGCGGAAATACTATGGACTAACTAAAGTCATTCAAAAGGTCGTGAAGACATAATATAGGATCTAATTACTCCCATGGATGTGGACCAGTCCGGTTGTCTACGTCAGTAACTTGAAACGTTACTATCTCGATCAAGAAGACACCAAGCACAATGAGACGACACCCTCATGCCATGAAGAATAATTCCACCGTGAATGAAGTAGAAGAGATTCTGGCTGAGAAGACACGAAGAGTGGACAAACTTATAAGAAAATTTCAATAGTTTTTGATAGGTTGGAAGAGACTCCTTAATGCTGAGATCAATTGAAAATGCATCGAAAGACTTGAAGTCAGCCTCATTGTACATCATTGAGTTCATGAAGATTCAGTTGACATAGACGTCAACCAATTAAATAGGGGAGGATGTCACAGTCATGCTTGTCGAAAGCGTGTTGCCTGTTGTCGCGTGTCGGATGCCTCGATCATGTTTGTCCAGGACATGTTGTTTATGGCTGCATGCCCATTCCAAACTCTTTTTACTTGTTTTCATGTTAGTTAGGTACTTGTTATTCTAGTTATTTTAACATGGGATGCATGATCATTCGCCAAAATCATGTTTACACTACCAAGACTAAAATGTCTCAAAATGTACTATACGGAGATATGACTAGTTTTCAATTTTTCCACTTGAGTTATACAGTATCAAATGTTGTGGTTCTTCCTTATTTGCTTTTAGCTTGTAAAATTATTCCTTAAAACTAATTTTCAAGTGCTTTCTAAAATTTTCTCTACATAATTTAAAAAAATGGTGGGTTTAAGTCGCCAATGCCAACCGCAACCGAAATTATTTAACTAAGAAATTTTATCATTATTTAACTAAGAATCAAAACAGGACTGCCATTTATTCCATTCGAAACTAGGATGTCTATGAATACAAATGTTGAACTCCTCAAATTATTTCGTATATTTACAGATATTTGATCAAAGAAGTAAGGTCCTAATTCCATAAAGGGAGTGGGGAGGGCACAGATGAATTTATTTTACAAAATGGACGAGAAGGACTGTATCTTTAATCTTTATATATACCATTCATGTCACTCTAATTATCGACAATCAAGTTTTAGAATGACCATCAAACTAATGGTCACAAACAAAAAAGAAAACTAAAATTATTCCAAAACATGATTTCCATATTTGATTTTATCCTTTTAAATACGATTTCCATCATCTATTTTAAATAACTACAAGCATGTTATAGAGTAATTTAAAATATTAAAAAATGATAATAACGATCTCAATCATATTATAAGCCAATAATTACCTATGACTAGTAACTAATCTACAATCTAGATGATCTAGATGATCTATTCTTTTAACAGTAATCAAAACTTCAGTATTAATTTTGTAGAAGTACGAATAGTAGTCACTAAAACTTGGGGGATTGTGTTTACATTCAAAACCTTATTTTGAAAAAGGAAAAAGAAAAAAAGAAAAAAAGACCATGTTTATGTGCAAGGAAACAACAACAAAGCATTTTAAAGAAAAATAAAACAAATAGAACGGAGCAGCACGCCAAGCATTTGCTACCCACTTGCATTTCAGCCCCCCCCCCCCCCCCCCCCCCCCCCCCCCCCCCCCCCCCCCCCCCCCCCC